TGACTCACAGACTTTATTCACGGTTGTGAGATTTATTAAGGAAATGGGTTGGAGTGTGGGGGAGACAAAGAATAACAAGTCCAGGTTTAGTCCAGCAGTCACAACCCGGATTAACAAAACAGAATTCCTCAGTTAGTGAAAGTTCAAGCTTAGTTCAGCAGCACAAATGCCAGAAGCCTCTAATTTCCTCAGTCATCTAGCAAACTTTCTCTCAAAACTGTTACAAGTCAGCTTTTCCTTAAATCATTCAACAAGCAAAATCTTTTAACTGTGACTCCATATCCAGGGTACCTTTGGTTACACATTGCCACGGTCTCTTCACAGCAGTGCCACAGTCTTTTCATCCTCTCTCCATCACCATCCCTCACAATGTGGAAAATGGTCCTATAAATGTTGATAAATTGCAAAACCATGTGTCTGCATTTAAGGTAAATGGAAACCACACTTTACAGGGGACTAATGCAATGGATAGAAAAATAAATTTTCAAATTTTCTGAGTACACAGACCACCCCTTGGTTCTTTTAGCCATTGCGTCTCATTATCTATCTAAAAGATTTGCCATCTATATTTATGGACATTTGTATAACAGCTGATTGACTAGTTGTGTCTTAATTCCCCTATTTTAGGTAGTCAATGTCTTATTTTCCCGGTCCTATCAAACCAGTGCTCTGAGGAAACAAGCATGTCTTTTTCTTTGACTCTTCTACTGTAATGTTGAAATTTTGAGAATCCACATCTATAAACAAAGAAAGGTCTCTTCCAAAGCCAACCATCAGGTAACAGTAATAAACACTAGTTCACAGAAGGAAACATAGTCTCTTTATATGATTGGGCTCTGGTCAACACATCCTCCGCCATCCGTGGCTAGGTTCAAAAGGGCATCAGCGTGGCTAGGTTCAAAAGGGCATCAGCCACAAACTCAGGAGTTCACATTTCTTCCTGTGTTTCATAGTGGCTGGTCCCTTACTCAAACAGCCTCACATTGGGTGAATCAACACATCAGGGACCCTCAGGACTCCCTGCTTCATCAACCAGCAACCCTCTTCACTAATGCATTCATCATGCTTGGTGGACAACAACTGAAGGAATATGTCCAAACCCCGCCTGTCATTTCATTGCTGTATATCTCCCACATTTATTCTTCAAGTGGACCCAGGTGTTAATTATGAGTTGAGAATAATCACCAACCTCCTTTAACATTAAATCCTCAAAAAAGAGTTCTGATGCTTCCCACTTCTTCTTATCTTAGCATTATATCAGTAAGATTGGAAGCATGAGTGTCATCCACTTCCTAAACAACGTGACTCTGGAAACTATGAACGTTGATAAATGATGATAGTTATAGAAAGGCTTCAGGCCTTTTGTTCATAGGGTCACTAAGTGTCCTGCTCAACTTGACTGAAAGGAACAACCACAACATCAGCAAAAAACCTTGATAATTTTTCCAACATAACTCAAAATAAAATAATAAATATATAATAAATTAATTTCAATCTGTATGCAGAACAGATCATCCAAGACGCTGGCCTGTACGAGGAGGAATGTGGCATCAGGATTGGTAGAAGAGTCATCAACAACCTGCGTTATGCAGATGACACACCCTGCTTGCTGAAACTGAGGAGGACCTGAAGTGCTTGCTGTAGAAGATCAAGAACTTCAGCCTTCAATATGGATTGAAGTTCAACATCAAGAAAACAAAGATTCTCACCACTGGGACAATTGGCAGCATCGGTATGGATGGTGAAGAGATTGAGATAGTTAACAGTTTTAGTTTACTTGGTTTCACAGTCAACACTCTTGGTAACAGCAGCCAGGAAATCAGGAGATGAATTGCATTGGGAAAGTCGGCTGTGAGGGACTTGTCAAGAGTAATGAATAGCAATGATGTCAGGCTGGAGACTAAGGTGCACCTGATCACAATTACGTGCTATTCATCAGAGAGTTAGACAGTGAATAAGGTTGCTAGAAAGAGAATTGATGCCTTTGAGCTGTGGTGCTGGGCATGAGTCTTGAATATACCATGGACTGCTAGGAGAACAAACAAGTTTGTCCTGAAGAGGGTGGAGCCAGAATTCTCCTTGGAGTCAAGGATTCTGAAGCTTCGTCTGACATACTTTGTGCATGTTGCAAGGAGGGACTGGTCCCTGCAGAGGGACGTCATGTTTGGGAGAGTGGATGGACAGTGCAGGAGAGGAAGACCCTCAATGAGATGGATCGATTCTGTGAGTGGAGCTGTGGGAATTAGTGTGTTTGAGACGGTGAGGTTGGCATAGGATAGAATGGCTGTTAAGGCTCTTGTACATAGGGTTGCTATGAGTTGCAAGTGAGTCGATAGCACATAACAACAACAACATAGACATTTAGAGAAATTCTCAAGTTTTATCTTCATCCTCTACCTGTTTGACCCAGGTCATAAAGTTGTTTCTCAACTTTTCTTTCTGTCTTAGTAGCAGCAAAAGTAAACTTTTGTATTTTCTCCTCCTCCTTTTAAAAAAAATGACCATTTTAATTTTGCATCTTTCCAATTTCATATTTATAAAACCAAACCATGTTTCTAGCAGTCTGAAGTGAATGCAGAGAATGGTGGTACAAAAAAGAATATAATCAATGCCATTGAACTGCGTATGTAAAAGCAACTGAGTGATTGTAAGATACTGTGAATATTTTCACCACAATGAAATAGAACCTGCTAAAGATTAAATCCCTGTGTACATCAAAAACATTTTACATCAGAGTGGAAAGAAAACCCATCGACTAGGGACAAAGGAAAAACTTCCAAACATTTGGCATTACCATCTCAGACAAGGGTCTGATAACAAAAGTTTAAATACTACCAGACCTCCACAAGAAAAAGATTGATAATCCAATTACAAAATGGGCAAACGACATGGAAAAGAACATGAGGAACACATTTAAATGGCAAACAAACACATGGTGAAGTGCTCAAAAATCACTGGCAATAAAAGAAATGCAAACCAAAACCACAACAAGATACTATCAAACTCCAGTGGCAGTGACAAAGTTAAACAGGACAGCAAGCTATCAATTTTTGAGAGGATATGAAGAAATTAGAACTCTCATACACTTTTAATGGGAATGTAAAATCGTACAGCCACTCTGGAAAGTTGCTTGGTGTTTCTTAAAAAATCTGAATATAGAGATTCCATATGATCCAACTATTCCACTGCCAGGAATATACCCCAAGGAAATTAGAACTGAGACACAAACGAAGATTTGTACACCCATGTTCATAACAGCATTATTTACCATTAAAAGAACATAAAAATGTTCAAATACAACTGAATGGGTTGAAAAAGTGTGGTTCTTTCACAGAATGGAATACTATGCAGTAATCAGGAACAATTTTAAAAAATACTACATAACTTGGGATATACCAGAGAGTATGATGTTGAGTGAACTAACTCAAGTCTCATAAGGACAAATGTTGCATGAGATCATTATTGTAAAAACAGAAGGATGACTAGTAAAATATGTGTAAGAGTCTGAGCTGGGGGAAGGGTTGGAATCAGAGGGATGAGGATAGGTAGGGGGAAATCACAGTGTCACACAATTTGATGAGTAGAGGGAGGAGTCAAGGAAATGGGAAAGTTCTTGTGGAGACCTGAAATGATGGAGTAATGGTGAAAGTAGTCCAATGTTGTTTTTATGTTCTATAGTATAGAGTTAGAATTGACCCAAAGCTCACCCTCTGGTAGGTTTTCAGAGGCAGTTAATTGCATGGGAAGAAAGTGCCCATCTTTCTCTCACAGAACAGCTGGTGGCCTTGAACCATGTGGCTTTGAGTTTGCAGCACAGCTTCTTGTCACTATGTTACAATAGTGCCAGCAAAGAATGGCATACACCCCCAAAAAACCCACTATGTGCATGAATAAAACACAATGTATGTGAAAAATTATATGCATGACAATAAAAATACAGAGGTGAGAAAAATATACAGCCTTTGATGTACATGTTCTTGAATTTAAAGCACTCATTGTTTTCTTGTTCCTGAGTGTTTAAATCACCGCCTCTTTATCTACAAATGCCACATGATCACAATGAAATGTTCTAGAATTTTGATTCCTTGCAATGTGATTAATAATTTATTATAATCTACACAGATGAATGCCTTTGTATTGTCAACACAGGTAAACATATTTCTGATATTCTCTGCTTTCTTACCTCTGACATTATTTTTTTTATTAATTGTTTTTTTAAATTTTATTATTGTTGTGTGTGTGTACCGTCAAATCAGATCTGACAGGTACAGGAGGAGATTGTTCCTCCTTCTGTGACAGAGCATCTGGTGGATTCGAACCATACACGTTTGGGATTGCAGTGCAGCTTCTTGCCACTAGACCACCAGAGTATTCTTGTAAATCTCTTTCCTCTTTAATATTAGGAATTTAGCAAAGGTAAGAGAAACAAATGAACTCAATTTTGAACAACCTTGGAATACATTTTGAATGATATTTTATTAAATTTCTCTTTGTTTTTCTACCATTAAAATTGAAATGAAAAACTCTAGAATAGGAAACCTATTGCTTTTCCAGCAAACACAACTGATTTAGTTCGTCATTGTCACTGAGTCAGAATCAACTCATAACTGACCTTCCACACAGTTTTAACAGGAGGGGTGAGCCCATCTTTCTCTCTCAGAGCTGCTGGTTGATTCAAACCTGGCAGGCTGGCCTTAGGTTATCAGCCCAACTCTCTGTCGACTAATAAGCTGAAAGAGATCCCTCTGATGAACATAAATAGTGAAAATGCAAATGTCTTTGTAAGAAATCTAATTGTAAAAGAGATATTCTCTTCAGATTTGGGTCCTGTGATGTTCACAATAGCTCATCACAGAAAACTCAGAATGATGTTAAATTGTGTTTGAGACTTGTACATGTTTGCATCAAGATAATAGAATTAAAATAGAAAAGTAATTTGTCACATACACGCACACACATACACTTTCTTTATACTTACTTCTTTATTTTTCCCCCCTAAGGGATCTCCAGTAGAAGTTACAACAACTAATGATAATAGTAAACAATATAACGATGGAAAATGGCATGAAATAATTGCTATTAGGCATCAGGCAACTGGCCAAATCACTCTTGATGGGCAGTATACAGGTAAGAACTTACTTGATATTTAAGTAGTTCTATTGATAAGTTGATATTTCTATAATTTCCCTTTGTTTATATTTTTATGCGTCTTCTTTCTCCCGTCATCTCCACTCAATTTCATCTCAATTGCTGTTGAATTTGCCTTCTGGGTGCTGCTACAATGATGCCTGACAACCAGTTTCTCATACAGAGAGGGCTTTAGTGAAGCAAAAATAAGAGCAAAAGCACCAGTAGCAATCTTGTGTCTATGACAGTATTCTACAATTTGTAAGGGCTTTTTTCTTGTGTTCTCTCATGTTTCTTTTGACCTTCACAAGGCGAGTATAATAAAGTAGAGGTTATCTGCATTGTAGAGTGGAGAAAAACAAGGCTTAGAAAAGTTAAATGAGATTCCTCTAGTGTATTGAGTTCTTAGGCAGCATTCTTCGAACACAGGCTGTTTTTGTGTTTCCAAACAGAATTATTTTTTTCTACTTTATTCTATCTACTATCATCATTTAATTATCAAACAGTTGCAATAGCTGCATGGTGATGCATCATTTTATTAACTCATTTATAAAATATATAATTTAAATGACCACCTATTATGTATCAAGTATTGTTCTAAGCACTGTTGGTACAAAGAGCAAACAGAACATTGCAAAACTTGCTTTTCAGGAAAAGGACAGAATGAAGAAATATTAAATAAGTATCAGATGGTGGTAAATTTGGAGAACAATAAAGTAGGATGAAGGGAAAGGGATGTGTATGCATTTGTATCTCTAAGTATTTGTATCTCTACATTTGTGCATTGTGGCGGACTATTATACACAGAAGGAGGTCTGGTGGTGCTGTGTTTAAGCACTTTTCTGCGAAACAAAAGGTCTATGGTTCAACCGTGCTAGTTACTCAGGGAGAAAGATAAGACAGTCTTATTTGTAAAGATTGGCTGTCTTGGAAACTCTAAAAGGCAATTCTGTTCTGTCCTACAGAGTCACTATGAGTATAATTGAATAGGTTGCACTAGTTTGGGCTTTTATAGCAGTGTAGTTGCATAATAACCTCTGTGAAAAAATGATGTTTGAGCAGAAATTTGGGGGAGTAGACAGAAAAAAATTCCAATTATTCAGTCATCAAGGAAAATCATGTCTAGGTCAGGGAAACAAAGATGGCAGGCCATGAGCTAAAAGCTTACCATATGTGGCATACCAGAAACCAACACAGAGGTCACTGTGGAATAGGCCCTAGTGATAAACCAAGAGGTCAGAGAAGCCACTACATCCTCAGCCACTTATGCACCCTAACTCCCAGCCCTCTGTCCATCTCATTGGAGTTCCTAAGGAATCAGTGTAGGTGAAGAGAGAAGAACTCAGAGAATGGAGAGGATCTGGGCCATTCTAACATCAAGATGTTTACTGACGAAGAAGGAAAGTAAGTAGGAAAAGACAATGAGGTAAAGGAAGTATGAGAGAGCAGTGTCCCAAACATGCACTGAAGGATTTCTAATCTATCAAATAAGTAGAAACAGATTATTCTCCTGAGGTTGCCATTTTCACCTTCTTTGCCTATAGGTTCCTCGGCTGCCCTGAATGGCAGCACAGTTATTGGAGATACCACGGGAATTTTTGTGGGAGGTCTGCCACAAGGATACACCATCCTCAGGAAAGATCCTGGTGAGTTTGGTAAAGATTTGGAATTCTGTGCATCACCAAAATAAATAATTAATTGATATGATTTTAAAACATAAATATTAATATTTATCTTCTCTAGATCAAGCTACTGTACCATTATGTTTAAAACATATATTTTATTTTCTTCTATTGTTAGTAGGACCCTGTATTCCTTGTATTTTTATTTTGCACATGTTGTTGTTTATTGGTGCTGAGTTGAACACAACTCATAGAGACTCTACAAATAAAAGGCCTGAAACCTTTCTATAATTATAGTCATTTCTCCAAGTTCATAGAGTTTCCAGAGGCATTTGTTTAGGAAGTGGATGCCACTCCTGCTTCCAGACTTGAGTTAGTTTTAGAGATCCACCAAACACTCCCCTTAATGGTTAGCCATTATGGTGTTTGGCACACGCATAGCACCCTTGTTCCATTATGGCTTATAAAAAAATTTTAAAATCTACTAGTTTATTTACAGAATTCAAATACATTGTTTTCAAAAACAAATTATTTCCATTTCCCTCACCCCCGACCCCAGCAAATTGTCCAACCCCATGACTAATCCCCTCTCCCTGCACATCCTCATTCCTCTGCTTCCAGCCTCTCCCACCCCTCTTGGATCCTTATACTCATTCTACAATAATGGTTTTATACAATATTTATCTTTGTGGGACTGAGTTAGTTCACTCAGCATAATGTTCTCCAGTCCCTCCCAAGTAAGGTAATAATTAACAAAATCATTGCTCCTGTGTGCTTCATATTATTTCATTGTGTGAATGCACCATAATTTCTCAACCCATTTGCTTGTGGTTGGACATTTGGCCTGTTTCCATGTTCTTGAGACGGTGAATAATGCTGCTGTGAACATTGGGGTATAAATATAAATTACAAAACAGGCAAAAGACCTGTAAAGAATGTTCACGGAGGAAGATATTCAAATGGCAAACAGACACATGAAGAAATGCTCCAAATCACTGGCAATGAGAGACAAGCAAGTCAAAACCACTAAGAGGTACTATTACTCCATTAACAGTGGCAAAGTTTAACAAGACAACAAGTAATAAATGTTGGAGACGATGTGGCGAGAAATGAACTCTTAAATATTATTCGTGGGATTGTAAAATGGTACACGCATTCTGGAAGGCAGTTTGGTGCTTCCTCAAAAAGCTGAACATAGACATTCCATATGACTCAGCTATTCCACTACTTGGAATGGAGGCACAAACTGAGATTTGTACACCAGTATGGCATTTGAAACCCAGATAGCACAAGATTCAGTGTTACACCAAATTGATCAGAGTGCTGTATGACTTAGAAGGATGTTCCTCCAAAATATAGTAACAAGGGATTAAAATATTGTCCCTCAGGCCCAACTTTTAAATATAAGGCCTGCCTAGGAGATCTTGTTTACTCTAAACAAGGGACTTAAAAAACAGCCAAACAATCCATGCAGATCCTCAACCAAAGCAAGAGCACCGTCATACAGACTCCAGCCATTGTATCCAACTCCAAAATGGAGACAAGGGGCTTCGTGTTGTACGTTGTTGTTAAATGCCATCTAGTACCAACCCTATAACAAAAGAACTGTTGTCCTTCTTCTAAGTTCATAGAGTTTGCACATAGTTTTTAATATATAAGAACTCATTAAACTTTAGCTCAATCAAATTATACTAATTTCAGCTACAGGTGTCTTATATTAAGGCTTATGCATAGATCTTTCTAATATTGTAACTTAAATTTAAAACAACAAAGAAATGAAAAGCCAGAGATGATATACATGTCAAATAGAATTATACTCCAAAATGAAAGAACAAATTTCCTGGAGTACTTACTTTCTGGCAAGTATTAAACCAGTTCCTGCATACCATAAATGAATAAAAATGTGGTCTTTTAAAAAAATGAAGATACAAGTATTTAAACACATCATTTCAATATAATTATATCATTGTAATATGGACAAAATACTTTTCTTTGTTTTAGGACAAGAAGAGAAAAATGTACTCTAAACTAATAAAAGCAAATATGAACAAAATTATCTTTATAGAGAAAAAATAACCCTTGAAATATTATTGTTGTTATTTTGAGTTGGAACTGACTCACAACTAATCCTCCAATGGGTTTTCAGAGGCAGTTAATTGCACAGGAGTAGATTACCCGTCCTTCTATGGAGCAGCTAGTGGATTTGAAGTGGATGCCTTTGGAATTGTGGTCTTCAAATCAGGATAAAAAAGACCAAAAGAAGTACTAATTTTCAGTGGATTTTGGATAGAAGTACATTAAGATCCTCAAGCCTGACCAGAAATATCTCTAGAATAAAGGAGATAATTTGCTCAATTACTTTAGACTGATAGAGCTCTCTGAAACATTCACATAGGTCCACACAGAGTCTCACACTTAATAGTCAGTCCCATTCAGAGCCCTTGTTCTATTTCTGTATCAAGAAGACTTGTGCGCTATCGTTGGTTCAGACACCAGGTTACAAAATACTCTTCTTAGACTGAGCATATCTATCTAATAACTAAGTAATTTGACAAATATATGTGAATTGACTTTTTAATACTTTTACTGCAGGTAAATTATTGCCCTAGAATTAAGTTATCAACCAACCTTTGGGCATATAGCAAAGATTGTTACTACTTTACAAAGTAGGCCCTGAACAACTAGTCAGGTCCTTGCTGCCTGGCTCACCTTCTGACATATTATCGTTATTATTACTATAATTATTTTGCTTTTTTCTACTCTCTCATTGGCTAACTTTCTTCCCTACATCCCTTTTTTTGACTGTGCTTGTGGCATAAAACTCCAAAAGTCTACTCCTGTTGAGTTGACAGTGTCTTATCTGACCCTCCAGAGAGTTTTTGAAGGCTATAAATTTCAGAAAAATAAATTGTGATCTTTCTTCCAAGGAGCTGTAAGTTGATTCAAACTGTGAGTGAGGCACAGCCTTTGTATTGGCACTTTAACTCCCTCTGGACTACACCACCAAGTAGCAATATAGCTGTTATATATTGTTGTTAGCTGCCGTCAAGTTGAATATGACTCACAGCGATCCTATGTACAACAGATCTGAATCTTGTCTTATCCTGTGCCATCCTCACTGTCTCTAACACACTTGAGCCCATTGCTGCAGTCATTATGTCAATTCATCTTGATGGAAGTCTTCCTCTCTTTTGCTGACCATTTCAAGCATGATGTCTGTCCTTTAAAAAACAAAAACAACAGCCTCTCTTAGCAAAATGTCCAAAGTATGAGTGGCATCTTGGTCATCTTTGCCTCCAAGGAGCATTCTGGTTGCATTTTTTCCAAGACATAACTATGTTCTTTCAGCAGTCCATAGGATATTCTTCTCTAACATCACTTCTCAAAGGCATCAATTCTTTTTCTTTATTATTCATTGTCAAGCTCTCATACACATAGAAAATAACTGATAAAACAGTATCTTGATTCAGGTAAACATTAGTCTTCAAAATGACATCATTGCTATCCAGTATATCCGAGAGGTCCCTGGCTTTGAGCTTTCCTAAAGCAGTATTGTTGTTGTTATGTACTGTCAAATTGCTTGTGACTCATAGTGACCCTATGTACAATTGCTCCAAAGCCTGCCCTATCCTGATCTAATCTCACAGCCTCTGGCACACCTATCCCTATAACCCTCTACCGATCTATCTCATATAGGATCTTCCTTTCCTGGGCTGCCCCTCTATCTTTCAGACCTTGATGTCCTTCTTCAGGGATTGGTCCCTCCTGGCAGCATGCCCAAATTATGTAAGACAAAGCCTCAAGCAAGGTGAAATCATTAAGCGTTTCAATTCTTTGTCCATCTACCATGATGTTGCCTATTGGTTCAGTGGTAAGGAGCTTTGTTTTCTTGATGCTAAGATGCAATCCATATTGAAGGCTATAGTTTTGATCTTCTACAACAAGTATTTCAGGTTCCCTTTGCTTTCAACAAATAAATTTGTGTCATCTGTATAGCACAGGTTAATAATACTGACTCTTCCTCCAATCTTGATGCCACATTCTTCTTCACAGAGTCTGACTTTATGAATTATTTTCGCAGCATACTTATTGTATAGGTATAGAGAAAGGATACATTTCTGAAGCATACCCATCCCAATGCTAAAGCATAGAGTGTTCTCTTGTTCCTTTCAGGCAACAGATTCTTCGTCTAGTTATGTTATGTTGTTGTTATGTGTTGTTGAGTCGCTTGTGACTCATAGCGACTCTATGTACATGAGCCCTTAAATCTGCTCTGTCCTGTGCCAATCTCACTGTTTCCAATACACCCATCCCAATTACCCCAATCACTGAATCAATCCACCTCATAGAGGGCCTTCCCCTCCTGCGCTGTTCCTCCACCCTCCCAAACATGATGTCCCTTTCCAAGGACTGGTCCCTTCTTACAACATGTCCAAAATATGTCAGACAAAGCCTCAGAATCCTTGCCTCTAAGGAGCAGCTTCATTTAACCCTCTCCAGGATGAATCTGTTTGTTTTCTTGGCAGTCTATGGTACCCTCAATACTCCTCTCCAGCACCACAGCTCAAAGGCATCAATTCTCCTTCTATCCTCCCTAGTCATTGTCCAATTCTCTGATGCATAATAAGTGATTGCAAAGACCATGGCCTGTATCAGATGCACCTTCATCTCCAGAGTGACACCATTGCTCTTTAGTACTTTAGAGAGGTCCCTAACAGCAGACTTTCCCATCACAATATGTCTTTTAATTTCCTAACTGCTGGTGCTAAGAGTGTTGACTGTGGATCCAAGCAAACTAAAGCTGTGAACAATGACAATATCTTCACCATCCATCCTGATGCTACCAATTGGTCCAGTGGTGAGAATGTTTGTCATCTTGACATTAGCCTCAATCCATACTGAAGGCTGTGGTCCTTGACCCTCTGCAGCAAGTGCTTCAGGTCCTCCTCAGTTTCAGCAAGCAGGGTTGTGTCATCTGCATAATGCATAAAAGCATAGTTAATTGTTCTGTGATTTTCATTCTT